GCTTTTTGACTAACATTTCTTTTAACCAGTTGTCTCCTATATTTTATGGCTTTTGGTATTTTTCAGAATGAAATAAGGATCATGTTGAATGTGGAAAAGTCAAGTCTCTCTTTGTTTCGTGCTATTTTGAGATATAGTAACCCTGGAACTGAAGCGGCATCTGGCCATATAACTTTTTATCCATCTTGGGCTAACGCAGGTAGGTAAATTTTCAAGCCTCTTTTGGGTTTAGAAATGATTAATTAGTGAAACATTTTCTCCAGTTTTCACCAGGTCACCACCTTAGAAAATACTACACCTAGTTACGCATGATACATGGTCTGATTAGGACAGTGCTCTGGATGTCCTCTCCTGTGCCACCCTTTCAATTTCTAAACATTCTGCTTATTTAAATATTGCTATTACATTCATGGAAAAGTGGGTGTCACATTTGTGTTGTTATTTGAGAGGTCTTGGCTTCCTATCCCTAGATTCTCCCCTTGTTTCAGGCAAATCAAATAGTTCAAGGAGAAATGGGCGAGGATAGGGATTTTTAAGATGAATGCTGTAAAGCATGAAGCCTAAGAGAGTTCCAGAGAGAGGAACATGCCAACCACATTCAGGGCTGAGGGATTCCTGAGGGCTGAGGGGAAGCACAGTCAGAGGGCAAATCGCACCACAGAGAAGAGGCTTGGAAGTCTGTTTCCCAAGGAGTGAGGGGTTCTGCCAGTCCTGGAAACAGATTCCAGGAAGCACTAGGAAACCCACAAGGGTACAAAATGATGCCAGTGGAAATCTAATTTTTGATAGAAATTTAAGCATCTACATTTAGCATCCACAGCAGAGTCGGACTTGGAGGAAGGAATGGTGCCCTGAGTTGTGTGAGCCAAGCTCATGAGGCTGCAGGTTGATTAATAACCAAATAGGAAGAAGTAGCAGGCTTGCTTTTTCATTTACAGAGGACTCGGGCATCCATTTTCTGACACGCTAAGAACTCAGTGAACTAAAGAGGGCTGAAGAGGAAACAGAGCTGAGAGATTTAGTAAATTGCCTTCACACGTGGCTGGCCTTTGTAGACAAGTCCCAGTCTTCAGACCCCAAACTCTGTTTAATAGACTATACGTGACAGTTCCATCAGCGATTTGCTCTCTGTTTACTCAGACAGTTGGAGGATA